AAGAGAAATGAAACAGAATGTGTAGAATTTTTAAAAATAAAACACAAATAAGGAGGAAGTGGGTCCCTCTCACAGGTTTCTCATTAAAAGCCAACAGTTAAGTTTTAGTCATCATCGAACACTAAGCCATCCACTCCCAGCTAATGAGTCGGGTCTTTCCTCACGACTACGCCAGGCAGCTGGGTTTGCTCAGAGGCCTGATTCCACCGGCTAGGTGCCTAAGAGACTGGGAGTCAACCTACACCCAGGAAGGAGCCCCTACCTTCTGAGTGGCCATGGCATCGAGAATCTCGGCTAAAACACTGGAGACAACTGTCATCCCAGCGCGAGGGACCAGCTAGGGCTCTGCAGTAAGACACTGTCTAAAAAACACAAAAGCAGGGCTGTGCGCATAGCTCGGTGGGTGGAAAGTGCTGAGCTGGTGTCAAGACTGGAGTTTTGATCCCTAGAACCCACATTAAAAAGCTGGGTGGGTGTGACGGTCTAGCCTGTGGGAGGCAGAGATGGGATCCCCAGAGCTGGCGAGCCAGACTCACTGACAACCAGGAGCTCAGGGTTCAGCGAGAGACCCTGCCTCAGCGTATCCGGTGGTGGAGAGCGATGGAGGAAGTCGCCTGACATTAACCTTGGGCCTTCACACTCGTGCGCAATACACACACACACAAGCAAAACACACAACTGCACACACAAACCACAGGTACACTGAGTTCGTTGAGATTTTATTCTTTTCTACTGGGAATTGAAACCAGGACCTCAAATACAAAAGGCAAAAGGCAGGCCTTCTATCACTGAAACATCCTCAGCCACATTTGGGGGCGGGGCTTGCTAGGTTACCCTCTCCAGGCCTTGAGCTCTCTCTGCAACCAAACAAGCCTTGAACTTGAGATCTTCTTGCCCCAGCTTCTATGTAGCTGGACCACAGGTTCAGGCCCAGGCCCAATGACGACGTGAACCTACAGGAAGTAACCAGAACTTGCCGTAAGGAAATGAAGGAAGATTCGGTGGAAGGAGGAAATTCAGGGTCACTGAGACTAGGGTTAAGGCACTTTTGGCATGTCTGGTGGTGACAGAGGGATTGCAGGATGGAGGCCACTTCCCTATCCTGACATCCGATTCTTACCCAGTCCTTATAGCCAGTAAACAGTTGTCACTGATCAGACTTCCATCCCTCAACACAGCCCACTGGACGCTGGAAGGGGCTGGAGAGATGGCTCAGCAATTAAGAGAATTGGCTCTTAACAGAGACCTGGGGTTCCATTCTCAGCACCCACATGGCAGCTCACAACCGTCTCTAACTCCAGTTCCAGGAGATCCAATTCATATATATACACACAAATATATACATACATACATACATACATACATGTGTGTATACAAATACATGCGCACACACACATGTATATATACAGGCAAGACACCCATACACATAAAATTTTTATAAATTAATAATAAAGGCCCAAAAACCCCGAAGTGAATGGATCCCAGGATTAGAACATTGTAGGATTCCGGGAGTCTCTGGATGGAGGGGGAAGAACAGCAGTCTGAAGCTGGTACCGCCTCAGAACCCTGATCGCTCAGAGGAGCCAGCTGCCACAGGCAGACTCTTCCCATTGTCCCCTACACTGGTTGCCGTTTTCTTTAAAAACAGAAGTCAGGGGACCCACATCCTTTGTGCAGCCCAAAATACTCCTGGTCCCGGTGACAGACTATGTCATTCACCCCAGCCAGTCACACACTGGAGGCTACACCATCCCTTCCCAAGGAAGAACCAGGCAAAAAGGGACTGTGCACAGCTCAGCTTGGACAAGTCATAGGGTGGGTTCGAAGCCAGCACAGGGACATTCATACAGGAGAAAGAGTACAGCACCCGAATAGCAGATGAGGACCACCTCTTCCCTGTAGGGTGCAGAGGGCAGAGATTCCACCCTGTTTCATCCCAAGGGGCTTCATAGAGCACATGGTACATTCTCATTCACTCTGCGCTGGGGTGCCTATGGGCTCAGCTGCAATGGGGGTTCACAGTGAGGGGAGGGGGAAGTAGGGTCCATACCCTTAGGAAGGTGATATACATGAGTGGAGAAGCAGGACACTGTGACACCGGGAAGTTCAAGAAGAGGCTGCGTCCTTCCAAACCTGACAGCTGGGATGGGGGAAGACACAGACTTCAGAAGACCCCAACAAAAAGGAGGCAGAAGCCAAGGGCACCCCTTGATCTCCTGGGCCTTTAGGATACAACAACCAGATGTGTCACTGAATGTGTCATTTAGTCTCTTAAACATGGATTTCAGACTATCACTGCTGCCCCCATAAATACTGGCTATGTCCCAAAGGGTGCCAAACCTCAGAGGCCCAAATGGGTGACGGCCTCTAGCTCCAAAGACACATACACAACAGTCTCAAGTGACGGGGATCCTAGCTGAGACCTCAGGGGGCGGGGACCAGCCAGGAGGCCAGAGTGAGAAGGGAAGTGGGAAGTGCAGGGACAACGCTGTGGTCCGTGAAACACACCAGAAAAAAAACAGTCAGGTCAAAGCCGCTGGACCAGCCCCTCAGAGAAGTCCCAGAGGAGGGCACAGCTCAGGGGTGAGTTTTGCTTTACTTTTGAGGGGGACACATCACTGAGCACAGATAGAGAGGTGCAAACTAGGCCAATGAATACAGTAACTAGTATTGCAGATTTTGAATAAATGACCACGACAAACCAGGGAGAAGACCACCACCAGCTACCCAACTTCCACCATTCAAGATGCCCAAGCCCCAAATCCATAGCACTTCCTGAAACTACAGCGGCTACTTTTTCAGACCTACCACATACCAAGGTCCTTAAAATGCCCCATTGAAGCCTTAAAATGATCCCACTGAAGAAAGTGTCATTGTCCCCAGTTTACACATAAGGAAACTGCGTTCTCAGAGGCACATTCAAAAACATCTTATATGGGTTGGGGAGAAGGCTGTCAGTAAAATGCTTTCCTCGAAAAGGATGGGAGGAATTAAGAAAGGAAGGGGAGAAAGAGGGAGCAATGGAGGGGATACAAGGAGAAGGGAGAAGAGGTGCAGAAGGGGGACAGGAAAGAGAAGGGAAGGGGAGGGAGGGGAAAAGAAGGGAAAAGGATGGATGGGAGGGGAAGGAAAATCCAAGCATGCTGAAGTGCTTTTTGGGCTCAAAGACAAGTGGATTCCTGGGACCCACTGGAGCCCAACCTAGTCTACTTGGCAAGACCCAGGCCAATAAGAGACCCTGCATTAAAAACAAACAAACAAACAAACAGATGTAGAGTATGCCCGGAAAATGACATGCCTAGCCTCCACTCTCAGGCCAGCACACACACACACACTACATAGAAATATAATAAATACAAATGTAAAAGTCACACATCGCAGCATGAGTGTTGAGGTCAAAGGGCAACTCTTGGGACTCAGTTCGCTCCCTCTACCATGCAGATCACCACACTCAGTAGCAAATGCTTTTACCGATTAAGCTGTCTCCCTGGCACCCTCCTGCTTTGAGGCAGGGTCTCTCAGAGGGATCCGAGGCCCTCCCCAATCAGGCTATCTGGCTGGCCACTGAGTCCCAAGGATCCCTGGTCTCCACCGCCCAGCACTGAAGTTACTTACAGGCAATGCCACCACCACACCCAGGTTTTACAGGGGCTGTGAGGATTTCACTCGGGACCTCCTTCATGCCTGTAGAGCCATCTCCCCAGCCCAACATGAGTTCATTATTATTGTTATTTCACACAAAAACAAAATCAGTCACAAGAATAAACCTCATGCAGCACAAGACCAATGTACACAGCACTGCCTGATGCTGGCACGTGCCTACCACTCAATAAAGTTCAAACTAAACGTCCGCTGGCAGTGCGGAAGCTGAAGGCAGCAGCGGCCTTCATGTTAAGCGGGATCACAAGGCCCCGTGCCCTCTCTTGCTAGATGCCTGCGGCTGGTCTGCGGGCCTTGCAGAGGGCCTGGTCCCCACCAATGGGCGTGTCTGCCGGGCATCTGAAAGCTTTACAGTAAACGGTGACTCATCTATAGAAGCCACTGTGGATACCGCTATGTAATAAGCTGAAATTTGTTCCATCCACATGAAAGAGAAGTGAGTACCGGGCTGTGCACTTGAGTCAAACTGAGCCCCCTGTGAGCTACCGCACTCATCTGCATCCAGCCAAAACCCAAACTGCAGTTATCCGACTCCTGGGGCCTCGGGAGGAGGGGGTGCAAGGGGAGCGCACAAGTGCCAGCAGCTCTCCTCGACAAGTCCTAATGGGTCCATGTGTCCTCCCTCCCCCCCAAGACGCTGCACCAAATACAGGACAAGTAAACGCAGATCCTGGCCTCCCGGAGACCTGAGTCCCTGAACGAGCCTCTCAGGCTCTCTGCCTCCTCTGACCCAGGGAGTTGCCATTTAACAGCGCCATCTCACAAAAAGGGAAACCGAGGCAAAGGGAAGCGAGGAAAGCCACCAAAGATCACACAGCTAATTAAGAACTAGCACTCGCTTGTCAACCCCCGTGACGCTGTCACCGTCTCCTGCCGCTTGGCGCAAGGAAACGAACAGGTGGACTCGGATCCCAAGGAGTCCCAGGGCCTAGTAAGGACGTGTTCAGTGAGGCCAGTATTGGGGTGCTCTCAGAGAGGGGCTGTTTAGGGGGTGCAGCAGTGACCTTTGGTTGAGGTGGATGACGGACCTCTGTGTGAAAGAAGACCACGGCACTCGGGTGCAGGGATCATCGCAGAAACAGTTAGAAATGCCTGGGTACAGGCCGCAGGCCCATGAACCCATGGCGTGGGGTCTCACAACGGGATCTCGTTCAGAAACAGGGTCTCGGCAAACGGAATTAGCACACGACTTGGGCTCATCCTTTCTTAAATGTTGTTGTTCACGCAAGCCTGTATGCATGAGTGCTTCAAACGTGTGCGGACACGCATGCGCACGGATGCACCAGAGGTTGACCTCTGATGTCAATCATTCTCCACTTTATTCACCGAGGCAGGGTTCCAAACACACGCACCACTTCATGAACAAGTGGGTCCCCCTTGCACAGGGGCCATGCTAATCTCTGTATCATTCCGATTTTAGCAGATGAGCTGCTAAAAGGGAGCCACAAATGCTATAACACACACACACACACACACACACACACACACACACACTGTGTGGGAAGAGGTACAATTCAACACCTCGCTTTCGCTCCCACAGTCCTTGGTACTCTTTGGCTTGTAGAAGCAGACACACCCCCACCCCCACACCCCTGCCTTCCCTGCCCAGGCCTTTATTTCAAATATCCAGAAAGGCTGTGAAAGGCTAGTTCCGCCTGAGACACTCTTAGCCTCAGGAAGCTAAGAGAAGGCAAGTTCCCAACACATGTCCAGCTGAGCTAAGAAGCTGGGACTCCACCCTACAGGCTGCTGGCCAGCCCTTGAACAGAAGGGGGTAGGTCCCAATTCTATGTGTGTTTTCTAATTGGAGCATCCTTCCAGTCTGCACGGTCTGCTCCTGTAAATGTCTTTGCCCGCCCAATCCTTCTTGCTGGCACATCCACGCTCATGGCCCAAGCACTACACAGAATATCTGTTTGCAGACAGTGGTTGACTTCAACGGTGGACAGCCTTCTGGCCAGCCTCTCCCACCTACGACGCAGGCTGCTCAGACTCCACGTGGCCAACGCAAGTTCAGTTGAACATCCTCCCACACCTCATTCCCTCCGGGCTTCTGAGCTTCGTCGGGTGTGCCACTGAACAGCTAGTCACCTCATCAAAAGCCAGGAGGTCACCCTACACACACACACACACACACACACACACACACGCACACGCACACACCAGGGAAACTCCCACATCATCTCTGCAGTGGGCCCCGCTCTTGCATTCTGTACATGACGCAGTCTGCCTCTCTCCTTCCCAGGGTTGCTACTGACGCCCATTCTGAGTTTTCCCTCCCTCCTTCCATCCTCCCCCTCACTACCCCCCAGTTCAGCCACATTCAGAAATGCAGCTTTCAGAGGCCCACATCCCAGAGGCACCACCGCAGTCTGGGACCCCCTAGGGACTCACAGTGTTTGTTCGGGCCAGAGAGCGCCCACCAACCTTATTCCTCAGTCCTCCCTGCTCAAGACGCTTCCTTCCACCTCACTGTCCCAGCTGAGCATCCAAAGTGCGGGCATTAACCACCTCAGGATTGACATAACTGAGTTAGGACCCGCACTTCCCCACCTGGGAGACTGCCACTGAGAACTTTTGTGTCAGTCACCAATGAAGAGATGGCCCAGCAATCGGCTCACAGCTGCCGGTAAGCCCAGCTCCAAGGAATCTGACGCCCTCTTTGAGGGCATACATACATACATACATACGAACACACTCAACGTCCTCGGCTGTACAGTGGGTTCAAGGCCAGCCTACATTACGTAAGACCCTGTGTCAAATTAAGACGCTTCCGGCCTCCAGGGTTCCTATCTGTGGCAACCATGCCCAGCTAACACCAGACACAGATCTATTCCTGGAGGTGGTCTGCTGCAGGCTTGCTCGAGTTAACAGCCACCACCTTCACAGCCACGCCCAGAGCTTTGAGCGTCATCTTCCTGGAAGCCCTTCTGAATGCCATCATCAGTACCATGTTCAGTAACTCAGCCTTCCTCCCTGGGAAAGGCAGGGATCAAGGACACCCTGAGCAGTGTCCCTGCAGAGTCTCATGTTAGTGGCACTGTTGGGGAAGGGTTTGGAGGTGTGGTCTTGTGGGGACGGTGTGTCCCAGTTAAGAGTCGCCCCATCCTCTCTCCGCCTTGTCCCCAAGCTCTCAGCTACTGCTTCAGCGCCATGACTGCCTGCCTGCTGTCAGGCTTCACCCCTGGATGGTCATGGCCTCTAACCCTCAGGAATCGTGAGACCCTAAATTAAATGCTTCCTTCTGTAAGCCGCCTTGGTCATGACATCTGTCACAGCAATAGAACGGTAAGTAAGACAACTAGGGGCAGGGAATGCGGTTTCCCGATTCCTTGTATCAGCCCTCAGATCCAGGCCCCAGAACACAGTGGCTCATCCCTGTAAATTTCCCATGCAGACGGGGCTTAAACCCCTTCCTATGGGACTCTCTAAGCCCCTCACTCATGTCTTCATCTGACAAAAACAAGAAGAACTGGCCCTGCCTTAGAAAAGTTATCAGCTAAAACACGAGGTAATCCTAACCTTGCCATGATGAGTTTCTTTTTCTTCTTCTGAAAATGAACCCGCGGCCTATCGAGGGCCAGGCAAGGGCTCCACCACTGCGCTTCAGCACAGCAGAATGCCCTTTTAGGCCCCTGTCTTTTCCTCCTGGGTCCTGTCTGCAGGCCACAGACTTTGCTTACCCTTCGTGCCGGAGCCCTCTCACGGGTATCTGCAGAGGTTCTGCAGGCTGCCTCCTGCACGGGTGTGTCTAGCTGCCCCTCTCTGCTGCCGCACAGAACCGGCCCTGCTTGGAACCTCTGATGCTTTCAGACCTAAGGACGAAATGAGAAGGCCAGGACTGACCGCCCCGCCGCGCTGCCTTCATGAAAGCCAGCAACCCTCAGCTCTCATTTGCGGCTATCACGCTGGTATCTCTTCTGGGGTGGAGACAAAGGCTAAGGAAGAGATATGTGATTTGCCCAAAACCACAGGGCAACACAGTGACTCAAATCCAGCTCTGTGTGGACGCCCGGTGCCCAGCATTTCCTTTCGCTGTCAGGATTTTCCCCACATTTCTGCTAAAAACCTCAATGTGGGCCAGCCAGGTGGCTCAGTGGGTAAACGCACTGGCTGCCAAGCCTGATGGCCTGAGTTCCATCCCAGGGCCCACACGGTAGGCAGACAGAAGTTCTCTGACGCTCTAACGCTTCAGTATGTACTCGCTCCGTACACATGCGAAATAATAAATGCAATTTTTAAAATTTTAAATAAAACTGTTCAATTGGAAAAAAACTGCAATATGTAACAATCATAATTTGAATGGAGAAGACATTAATTAAATCTTTAAATCCAAACTTCATTGTAAAGAACTTGAGAAAAAAAAAAAAAAAACAAGCATTATGCAGCTAGACTAGCCAGGCCCAAAGTCTATAATTCAATGAACACTGATTATAGTTGATGGAACCAGCGAGCTCTGGGCTTTTCCAGATCCTCATCAGTGTGCCTGCCCAGGAAAGGAGCGGCCGAGACAAGCCTGTCTAGAGTAAATCACCCTGTATGTAGAGGGTGGGTGTCTGCCTTCTACGTTAACGTTCCCTAATTCCACACATTTAGACTACCTCTATGTTTGTTTGTTGTTTGTTTCCGATTCTGAGGACAAATCGGTTTCTTCCTCCTCGGTATTTCTCTGGAGGGCTTACCCAGAGGGCTTACTTACCCCCCAAAGCAAAAGCTACTGGTCAAGGGGTACAAGCGCTGCTGTGATTCTTGTGTCTAAGGTCATGATACCCTCCTGAAAAGCCAAGCTGGGTGTGGTAGCCCACACCTTTATTCCCAGAATGCCACTGAGTTCAAGACCAGCCTGGCCTAGATATGGATTTCCAGGACAGCCGAGGTTACATACGGAGACTCTGTCTCAATAATGATGATGATGATGATGACGATAATAGTAATAATTAGTAATAAAATCAACCCAAGCTGGGAGCAGTGGTGCACACCTATAATCCCAGTACTAGGGGAGGCAAAGGCAAGCAGATCTTTGTGAGTTTGAGGCCAGCCTGATCTACAAAGTAAGTCCAGGATGGCCAAAGCTACACAGAGAAAGCCTGTCTCTGGATGGATGGATGGATGGATGGATGGATGGATGGATGGATGGATGGATGGA